GGTGCTGTGGCTCAAGTGGTAGAGCGCTAGCCTTGAGCTGAAAAGCTGAGGTACAGTGCCCAGACCCAGAGTTCAGGCCCCACAACCGGACCCCCCCCCAAAAAAAGAAAGGTAGAAAGGCAGAAAGACAGACAGACAGACAAACAGAAAGAAAGAAAAGAAAGTGTGAGAGAGAAAAAGAAAGAGAAAGGAGAAGAAGAAAAGGGAGGGAAGAAGGGAGGAAGGAAAGAAAGAGGGGAAGGAAAGAAAGAGGGAGAAAGGAAGAAAGGAAGAAAAAGAGGAGAAATTAATTATAATGGAATGTGGGCATGGTGCCAGCTACTCGAGAGGCTGAGATGTGAAGATCCTGGGCCAAAGCTAAAGGAGGGAGCCCAGGTCTAGATGATGCCACCCTGGTGCCTAGCTGGGTGACAGGGGCTTTCCACCCAGCTTCAAAGGCCTAAAAGTGAGAAAAGCCATCCTTTTAATTTCCAGCTCAGTAGAGCAAGGAGGGCTTTTTTTAAGAGTACATGCAAATGCATCATGTTATCTAGACTCAAAAAGAGAAAAGCCCTGCTCCTGGTACCTTTAGGTTGGGGCTTTGTCCCCACCCAAACATGTGGTTTTTGTCCTTAAAAGTTTAGTGCAGAATTTGGGGGGGGGGAGGGCTGCAGGTGACCAAAGCCCACCTGCAGACGCCAGATTTCTAATAAAGACTCATCACAAAATGGGGCTTCTCTTATTTTCTCGAGACTGGATTTGCATCGGAGCTTTACCGTGCAACACAGCCAGCCTGGGGGAGGGCAGGAGGGAAGTCCCATGAGACTCTTATCTCCAAAGAACCAGCACCCCCCCCCAAAAAAAAGGCTGGAAGTGGAGCTGTGGCTCAAGTGGTAGAGTGCCAGCCTTGAGCAAAAAGACTTAGGGGCCTGAGTGCAAGCCCCAGGACGGACAGACAGACAGACAGACACACGCTATGATGGTGATAACACCTTTGCTCTCTCCCGTCCCAGCCCCGCGCTGCAGCTGCCCGGCACTCACCTGGTCAGCGTTGGGGTGCGGTGGTTGGGGTTGGAACAGAAGATGTTGTTGGTCTTGCGGGTGCCGTCTAGGAACTCGCGGGCTGTCTGGTCCCGGAGTTCCGTCAGGGGCCGAGCCTCGTGCTTTAGAAACCACTGGTGGGCCTCGAAACACTTGGTGCAGAGCAGCTGTTCGCACTCGAAGCACCAGAAGACGGCCGGCTCTTTGCAGCGTGTGCAAAGGGCCTGTGCCTCCACGATCTGCTGGTACAGGCTCAGGCGCCGCTGCAGGCTCTCGAAGAACACGTTATCCAGGGCCTCCTCCTTCGGGTCCGGGGGTTGGGACTCCTGGCAGGTGGGACACTGCAGACCGTGGGCCTCCAGGCAGCCGGAACACAGCGTGTGCAAACAAGTCAACAGCTTGGGGCACTTGGCTAGGGTGTGGCAGCCCTGGCAGAGCAGGAACCGAAACTCCTCCTCCATGGTTGGCTGGAGGATGGAAGGGCGGGGGGAGATCTGAACAACGTGCGCGCCTGAGTGCCCACCCATCTGGCCCCTAAGGCTGGGGTGGGGCCTCAAATTCTAACCTTTTTCATTTTGCCAGTTCTGGGGCTTGAACTCTGGGCCTGGACACCGAGCCTCTCTGTGTTCAAGGCTAGTGCTCTTACCACTTGAGCCACAGTGCCACTTCTGGCTTTTTCTATTTATGTGGTACTGAGGAATCGAACCCAGGGCTTCATGCGTGCTAGGCATGCATTCAACCACTAAGCCACCTTCCCAGCCCCTCGGACCTCAAATTCTAGCCCAGTGGGCATTGGATGCTGCAAAATCCTGGCTCTCCAGCGCCCCATTTACTCAGGCGGCCAATTCCCATCAGACACAGTATTCAGAATGAGAATGGAACCAGGTGCTGTAGCACACGCTTATAATCCCAGCTACTCAAAAGGCTGAGACCTGAGGGTTCCTGCCAACCCAGGCAGGAAAGTCCATGAGACTTTTATCTCCAATAAACCAGCAAAAAAAAAAAAAAATCTCAGAAGCGAAACTGTGGTTCAAGTGATAGAGCTCTGGCCTTGAGTGACAGAGCTGAGACAGCACCCAGGCCTCGAGTTCAAGCCCCAGTATTGGCATCAAAAAAACAAAATGAAACCCACCCTGACTTCCAGGAACTCAGGAAGGTAGACACACTAAGAACCAACCTCTTAAAAATGACTAGCTCGGGATTTTTTGCTATTGTTCTTGTTAAGGAGAGATACTTACAGAAACTACCATAGATAACCCCTGTTGTCACTGTATTTGATTCTGGTACCCTGTATCTTGTATATACATTTTTCTAATTTGGGGAGGGGAAGGGAAATAACAAAATGCTGAAACAACGATACACCTTGACCCATTGTAACCATGAGATGTACAAGATACTATGTTGACAAGGAACATTACAACTTGGGGGAGTGGGGAGGTGGGGAGGGAAGGGATGGTAAGGGAAAACAAAGGAGGGGGCAACAATGTTCCATAACAAATATACTCATTACTTTACTCATGTAACTGTAACCCCTCTGTACAGTATCTTTACAATTAAAAAATTTTTTAAGAAAAAAAGAAACTAGGCAGTGGCGCTGTAGCTCAAGTGGTAGAGAGCTCACCTTGAGCTGAAGAACTGAGGGACAGCGCCCAGGCCCAGAGTTCAAGCCCCACGACCGACAAAAAAAAAAAAAAAAAGAAACTACCATAGTACCCAACAATTCTAACTCCTTGACATATACCCCCCAAACAAAACTTGTGCCCGAATATACATAGCAGTATTAGTCACAATGCCAACATAACCCAAATGCCCATTAACGAACAGTATACTCCCTATAAGGGAATATTAATTAGCCATCAAAAGGAACAGGAATCATTGAGCGCTGGTGGCTCACACACCTGTCTTCCTCGTTAGCCTGGAGGCTGAGATCTGAGGATCACAGTTCAAAGCCAGCCAGGACAGTCATCTCCAATTAACCACCAGAAAATAAGAAGTAGAGTTGTGATTTAAAGTAGTGGAGTGGTACAAAAGAGCTACAGGACAGCATTAGACCCTTCAGTTCAAGCCCCACAACTGACAAAAAAAAAAAGGAAAGAAAGGAAGAAAAGAAGAAAAAAGAAAAAGAGAGAGAGAGAGAGGAACAGAAAGGGAAGGGAGGGGATGGGAAGGGAAGGGAAGGGAAGGGAAGGGAAGGAACAGGAGCCCCTGACATAGGTAAGAAGACAGAGAAAAGTGGGAAGACAATTAATAAGGCAGATGCAAAAGGAGAAATACTGTGCGACTCCACTTTTTGGAAATAGCTAGCCAATTTTACACAGACAGAAAGATTATGACTGGGAGAAGAGCTATTCCTTTCTTTCTTTTTCAGTCCTGGGACTTGAACTCAAGGCATAGGCACTGTCCCTGAGCCCCTAGCTCAAGGCTAGTGCTCAACCACTTGAGCCACAGCACCACTTCTGGCGCTGTGTATGTGGTACTGAGGAATGGAACCCGGGGCTTCATGCATGCTAGGCAAGCTCTCTACCACTGAGCCATATTCTAAGCCCCAAGAGAAGAGCTATTTCTTATAAGCAATAGTTTCTAGAGGCATCGAGACGAGTTCTAAAGAAACAGACGGTGGTGATGATGACACCCCATATGAATCTTCTTCCTGTGCCAGTACTGGGTCTTGAACTCAGGGCCCGGGCGCTGTCCCTGAGCTTTTCCCACTGGAAGCTGGTGCTCTTCCACTTGAGCCACAGCTCCACTTCTGCTGGCTGGTTCTCACCGACTTTCCTTCCCAGACTGATTTCGACCCCGGATCCTCTGATCTCAGCCTCCCGGAGCAGCTGGGACCACAGGCGTGTGCCCCCTGCGCGGTGCTGGGCCTGGTTCTCTAGGATCCCTCACCTCTCCCCCATGCGTACCTCCGCGGGGCTGGGCTGGGGGCCTCCGGGCGAGGCCCCGGGGTGCGGCCTGGCGGGCGGCTCGGGCTGGGGCTCGGGCTCGGGCTCCCGGTCCGAGGACCAGGCGGGTGGCGGCGACTTTAGCATGGCTCCGCGCAGTTTCGATTCCCGGATCCCAGTGGAGAGCGGGAACGGAGTCTGGGCCCTGGGTGTCAATCAAGGGCAGATGGGGGCGGGGACTTCCGGAAGCCCCGCCTCCAATAGGAAGCGAACCGGGGCGGAGCGGGCCTGAGCGGGGCCTCGGCGTGGGGGGCGGCTTCGGCCAGGCCCAGCGCAGTTTCGATTCCCCATTGAGGATGGAGAGCGGGGGCCGAATCCGGATCCCGGGTGCCCAGCCAGGGCGGAGGGGGCGGGGACTTCCGGAGGCCCCGCCTCCAATAGGAGCCTGGGGGCGGGGCCTGTGCACCGACGGGGGCGGGGCGGGGCCGAGCGGCCCGCAGAGCCGCCCAAGCGCGGTAGAACTGTAAACCCAGCACCCGGAGGAGTGCAGCTACACTGTCTTTAGAAGTGGAGCTGTGGCTCAGGTGTCAGAGCACTAGCCTTGAGCGAGAGAGCTCAGGGACGGCGCCCAGGCCCTGAGTTCAAAAGGAGGAGGCGGCTGCCAGCTGCTGCCAGCTGCAGGGGCAGTCCCCCGGGCCCCACTGTGGGGCACCCAGGTCACGTGCACAGCCTGGTGCCCACCCCAGCTGGAAACCTGGACACAGAGGGGAACCACGTGCACGCCTGCTTTTCAGGGGACCCTCAGATCTCCCCACTCCCTCCGGGGAGATCCGCGCCCAGCGCGGGCCTGGGCGGAACGGCCCCTCTGCTAGGAGCTCACCCGGGACTCGCGGTGGGGGATGCTCGGTGGATACATGCGTGTGATTGTGTGTGGACGGATGTGTGTGCAGTCCCGGGCGTGGGAACTGTCCCGGAGCGTTCCCACTCAAAGCTGGCACTCTCCCGCTCAAGTCACACCGCCACTTCCAGCTTTTTGCTGGTTCACTGGGGATCAGAATCTCATGGACTTTCCTGCTCGGCCGGCTTCAAACCACGATCCTCTGATCTTTGCTTTCAAGGATGCCAGGCGTGAGCCCTGGGCACGGGGCGGGTCCGGAGTGTGAGGAGAGACCCGGCCAGCAGGTGAGAGGACAGGAGTTGGGCCCCGTTCGGTAAACCGCGAACGCTGGGCGTGAGTACTCACGCCTGTCACCCTAGCTGTTCAGGAGGCTGAGATCGGAAGATCGCGGTTCAAAGCCAGGTCGGGCAGGAAAAGTCCAACTAACCGGCAAAACTTCGCGGACCACCTTGCCCTTTGTGGCAGGAGATCGGCCCCCACGGGCCCGGCTTGCTGGGCAGGACCACTCACCAGGCCCTACAGAAACCGCGAGTGCAGACGCAGCTCACATTCCGCCTCTGACCTTCCCGGCCCCTTCTCACGGAACGCCCCCGCCAGGCTGCAGTGCGGTCCTCCAGCCGCGAACGGCGCTGTGGAGCCGCGCACGCGCGGACGCCGGCGGTCCTCGCGCTCGGCACCCGACCCGCG